TCCGAAATGGTTTTCCAATGGACTACATACGGGATTCGTCGTGGTACGAGGTTCGTCATCGATGTGAACCAAAGTGTGGTGGGGTGAGTGACACCTCCTAAGTGCACTACGGGTCTACAGCGGAGGAAATGTCCTGTCGGCCATTTTTCTGGACTAGCCAGTTCTTTTGCAGTCCGACCAGCCCTCCCGGTAGCATACCGACGATGCACCCCGATGCACCGAAATAATAAATAACAAGTAACAAAGAAGCATGGACCCAACCAACTCCACGCGCGCACCCTCTCTGTTCGCCTGCACCAATTACAATTACTACCCTAACTTTCCGTTCTCAATTTGTCTTCCTCACTGACATCGCTATCGAAGGCTTCCCCCATTCAGACTTCCTGGGGGAGACCTATGTAGGGAACACGGAACCGTTACGCCTTCAGTATTGTGACATTGCATTTTATACTTGTTTGTTTCTTCCGATCGTCCATTTGTATTACTGATGGCGCCTCCGGTTCACTTTCGAATACCCTTTCATTACAGCTCTGCATAATACGCGTTGGATCCGGCAATGTTCCGAATTCAGTATAATTGGTCTGAACATGTCTGGACAGATGAGCGATTGGTACTCAAGCGAAACATTTAGTCCGAAAGTCTGTCCGCAAGAAAGCGGGCTTGGCAGCGGATTATAGGGATTCCGTTTTAAGGAATTAGGAGCCACCCTGACTCCAACCCCCAACCTGGAGAGCCAGGAGACTGAGTGTCTGGCATGTAATCATTGACCAATATGGTATGAGTGACTCTGAGGGTGTAAAATGCACCACCCAGCATAGCTCAATGGATCGCTGAGACATGCGAACCATGGAGCCACGTTAAGGTCCAGTCTCATTTCAATCGCGGCACACTGCATAGGCTCGAACGGAGACGTAGGAATAGACATGGAGCTGACGGCATGTTGCTGGCATACTCCGGAGGAGAAATGGGTCGTAGCGAGAGTTTATGTTATGGCCGTATCTGGTATACGATCATATGAAGGAAGGGATAAAGCAACGCGAAAGTTGGGTAGTGTAACTCACACCACCTCTGCTGGTGCACAATGTAGGTCGGTTTAAATGCTGTAGGAGGCCGGACGAAATGTCTCCATTCCTGTCAACATGGAATTCGGCACGGATTCTACAATAAAGCCTGTGTAAGTTGACCACTGAATTGTCAACATACAGAGGTCTGGATCCAAAGTTTAACACGGTGCACCTCCAAGCAATGGAAAATAATATCCGGTTATAGGCGTATCGGGTATACAATCAGATAAGGGAAGGGCGAAACACACGCGACAATTGAGTGTTTCACCAGACACCAGCACTGCTGATGCACAGGGTATGTCAATTTTACTGCTGTGGATACCTGAGCGAAATGTTTACGTTTCAGCCAAGATCGAATTCGACGAAGATGCATGCAGTAAAGCCTGTGTAACTTGACCACTCGAGGGACTGGACAAAAGATTAACATGATGAACGTTCAAGCAGTGGAAAATATTGCGGTCAAATTATAGTGGTTGTCAGGAAATAGAGGTGGTCAGCCTCTGAAGTTGTACTGTATTCTGGGCAGCCTTCTGGATGATATATTACCGATTGAATACCGGGTAGCCTATGAAGTAGCTAAGTGCTTGGAATGGTGACGTTCGTAATGGTTGCACTTCAGTGCTGGTGGTAAATGGACGTGGCGAATGAGAGAAAAAGTGGCAATCTCACCTGTGCAGCCTGTTACTGGGATAACCCATGTTCACGTAGCGAGTAATCGCTGTAGGCCGAGATTTAAACGAAACCGCGGAAATGTATTGAAATCTCTGTCATATCTGGCTATACCTGGGAAAACCGAGAGTCTCGGCCGTCCAATGAACTGACCAGAATCCCGCTAGGTCGATGGCAGTTTCGGAAGCCGTTGTTTGAACTTGGCCGTACGAAGCACCCGGTGACAAGTTTCAAGAGAGCGTGTGGATCCCAGAGTGAGAATATATGTGAAACGTGTCGAAGACTGTTTACTTGAAACAGCTGGGCACAAGCGTGAGCAAAGTGTTTCAGAGACAGTGCCCCTGAAGAAGGGAGATATGACAAACTGTCGATGCATCACACGTGACGGTTTTGTTTGTAGTTGGCAGAGGCGCAGGTCGTGACTATTGTCAGCAGACTGCCGGTGCGTTGAAGTCCATCGGCTTAATTTTGAGTGGGCGCCAAAGCAGTATGATCGTCAGTAGACAGATAGTAGAAGGTACATTTAGCGTCGGAGTGCGTAGTCGACAATATTCAGGACGCAATGGACATGGCATTTGCTCACTGTGAATTGTGCGACAGTGTCCATGTGACAAGTTGGACATGGTGTTTGTCGTCTATTCTAGCGATAACCGTTGGCTGGTGGTCATTGTGAACAGTGAAAATCCGATTTCGGAGTGTCTATCGGAAGTAATGGATTGCGACGTAGACGGCGCCAGGGTATCTACGATTACGGGATTGGACTTTTCGCATCATCGTTACATTTGTTACTGCAATTTCACCAGGACTTTCGCTGAAACCTCGCCGTCCGAATACGTATCATGCGGTTAAGCAAGCGGATAGGCGATCACTCTAGTTGCGCTATGTTGCTTGGATGTCTTCGGCCTTTCTTTATTAGCAGTCATTACCTGCAATGGTCTACTTTGCTATGCAATTACTAATGATATGTCTTTAATGACTGATCATTAGTTATTGGGTGGTTAGCTAGAGACTTTGATGCAGGTAACTGTTAATTTTGTTTCGTTACAGAACGGTATTCCACTTCCTCTAATTTCCCATACTCGGCTTCCAAGTTTGATTTACCCCCTTTACAGGTAATTACCCACAGGTTTTGAATCACTGGTCTACGCGGTCCGTGCGGCCGCCGATAAAATTCTTCGCGGATTAAAGCCGTGTTCCAATGCTAATCGAATTGGGATAACATGGAGCAACTAACTTAAGCGATTCCATCCAGTGTGTATAGAAATTTAAGCGGAGGTAAAAGTGTGGCAATTCAAACCAGACTCGAGTTAGTTCTGCACAGTGTGTGGTCAACCCACTCTTACGGTTCATCGTCGTTCTGGCACAGAATTATGCCAAACTGACCTCAATTGTGGCGCGTGTGACAGCTGGTATAGCTGCCGCATCGGAACTACCTACATCAGAACTCGAATCCCATTGCATAAATTGAAGTATTGCTTTGGGACAAAGTAGGCAGAACAAGCGTAGAGTCAGCTATCACAACCGCGAGAACTCGCAAACCGACGTGCAGAGAGGATCTGCTAGTGTCGGATAGTGTGGTTTCTCTCAGGGTTGTATCTGTGGCACATACTGCACTATTGCATCCAGGCTTCTCCATTATTACATGAAGTCAGGCAACATGCACCTCCGTCATCGCTGTATGCAGACCCAGGTAGATATAAACGGTCACATATGCAATTGCCTCAAATAGTGTTAGAAATGGCATGGATACCAGTGCCCCTTGGTGAACGTCGCCTACCGCACCACCAGAAAAAGAAAGCACATCATTCTACAAATTGTTGAATATTAGGAGAAAGCAGCACGTGCCTGATTCAAGGGTAAACTCCATCAAGCAATGGGAATCCAGACTTACGACAGAAACGAATACTTGTAGCTCAGGTTGTTTCGATAGCGGTTGAACTGTTCGCTGATCTTGGCAATTTTGTTGCAAACGTTTCATCACCAATCGACGTGACATCGTCGCTGCGTAGCGCGTGGCATCGTGGCGAAGCATAGCGAAGGAAAGCCTTAGTGAGAGTACCCTAAGCATAGTGTGCGTGCGCTTTTATGTCATGGTAGTTTTCGTTTGATTTTCTTTTGTTTTTCGTTTGATTTTCGATCGTTGGATTTTCGTTTCGCTTCTCGTGAAAACTGTTGCTCTCGAAAGCCCATTGAAACGAATGGTATTCTCGAAGGCAGGTATAATAATGTTACGAGAATGTTGGGTACATCTCGACATGGAAGGTGGAGTCACGAAACTCGATGGCTATCGACAACTCAAATCCGACCGCCCAGGAACGCATCATCACCTCGGAGTTGGTGTGTTCACCTACATTAGCGGATATTGGGGTACATCGGTCTCATAGCTGTCCACTTACTCAACCGCTTCAATAAGTAACAATCTATTAGAAGGTAACCCAACGTTCCTTAGTTGTTTTATATCCGTTGTAGTTAGGATCGTCTACGTAGCGCCTAGCGCATCACTTTGCATTTCACCTAACCTCATAATAATGACAGTTAGAAGCGGATGGACGAAGCAATGCCCACTCGAACTTTGTTGATACATATTCTGTTATCCGGTAGGAACCAGGACGAATGAAACGGTGCGTCTCTACAATCCAAACCAAGTGGATTTACATATATATTCTCGTGGAAATCTCTAGATTTCCATGCCTGTCTCGGTCTCTAACGCTATACCTACACCAAAGCGCTTCTCATTTTATCAAGATTCGCCTTATATCAATTTGCTCCATCTAAACGGACTTGTTATGCATTCCTTTATACCCTGGTGCCTGCATATTGCTCAAATCGAATACTATTAATCGGGCTGAAGTTCAATTACAACCGCATCACGCAAATATGCCACTCCCGTTCGCTTACTTCACCAAATCTAAGAGGCATTGTTGGCGAGTGGATATGTAGATGTTGCAAAGTGAAAAATGATATATTTTTGATTAAAGCTTGCAGATCTACTTGAAGAAAGCCTAGACGGTTCTCCATATTGTATTTCTATGCGTCCCAATTGAAAAATAATCTCGGCAGCGAATTCGTCAGAAGTGCGAAACTTGTACTTTCGGAGAAATTACCAAATACACACCATCCCATTTTGCGCACAATATTATTGTAGTTTATCCGTATATACACAGTTCGTATTCTTGATTGCATATGCGTCAACTTTATGCAGAAGGCAACACGGGGCTTAATGCAAAACGGCAACTGAGATGGAATGCATTGTATTTGTTGCACTACTTAAAAACATCCGCCCGATGCACGATCGACACCCGGATCCGTTTGTTCAGTGATCTCCTCTTTCACAACATCCACCAGTGTATTCGTACCGTCCGCTGCTTGATGTGCAAAGTCCACATCTTCCGACCCACCTGGATTCGTTGCCTGAGCGTTGGTTTCGCGAGCTAAAGCTACCAGATCGGTTGCTTGTTCCGCCATGCCGCTGATCAGATATGGTCTGCAAAATCACAACGGAAAAGAGATTGAGTGTGAAACATTAATTAGACAAATTCCGAGTAAACATGCTAAGCCTGAATACGAAGGCCAGGTGGAAGTCAATCTGAGACAATTGTTGCAAAACCAGGTGGACTTGCTTAGTACCTAATGACCGTGTGTATAAGTTTGGAGCAGCACAAAGCGTTGGATGTCAAGTAATCACACACAATATTACTAACGGGTCGATGTGATGTAGAATTACACTGTGCAGATGCTGATTCAGCCATTGCAGTGAGAGAATCACGTATGCATTAGGCAGCAAAATGCTATACACTTGACAGATATGAACGCACATATGTGTCTTCCATCTACATGCTATCTTTCTACTTCAAATATATGAATATTCTGTCTAAGAGTAATTATGATCATTAAAATCATTACACACCTCCAGCAGTTGATCGAAGAACGGTGTAGGATTCAATGAATTGTACCTTCTTTTATACGGCCGTTTCATTTATCACGCATGAACAACCACATACTGCACGAGTAAATGAGCATACAAGATAAGTAAACCAACTGTTCTACTGCGCTAATCACATTCGAGGTCATGGGTTATCTTGTGTATACAATAAATTTGTATTCTACTCTCGAAATAAACAATGCGTTTATCTGGTTTTCGGACGCATCATCATTCTGCCACATGATCACCTTATGTGACCAGATTATATTTGGCCAAAGGAAAACCAAGCACCATAAATGATTCTCGTGTGACGTTTTGGGTTATTTCATATTGCACGAGATACTCTGCCAGTTTCATATGTTCATACTTCCCAAAATACCGTAAGGTTTTGCCAATGGCTAGATGAATCTTCAAAAGATGAACCAAATTTATCCGCAGTTAAGGGAAGTTTTATTCGTGTAGAAAATTTATCATCGCACTCCGCAGCAGACAGCCGCATTTACACCTAACAGTTTGATTCCGGTAGAGAATGCGTTGCATGGAGTATTTCGTCCGTCTTTGATGCCATTATGTGAAACTCAGATAAAAATTGCTGCAAGAAAACCTAAAAATGGAATCAGAATTCAAAAGCTCACAAATCACAATGCATGATCATTCAAAGCGGTAGAAATATTTTATAGTCGATACTTTTGGAATAGCAACATATTATGAGCGTCAGGCCTGATTAAACATAGGCGTTATTTGATTGTATTATGCAACCACAGGAACGAGATGGATTTACATGACGAAGGAAGCGGCTAGTTTGCCTCAAGCGAAGGGAGCGGACGATGTTACGCCTAGGCATTTTCGCCGATACGCTAACTGGTTCATATTTGGCAGAGTTGGGGTAAACTTGTTTGACTGATTCAAAGGAAGGATTTCATGATTGAGGAAGAGATGCGGAGGATTCTCGTGAACTACTTACGATAAACACTCATCGTGGTTTGTTCCAGTATAATCGCTTACCTTTTGGTGTAAAATCGGCCCCATCCATTTTTCAGCAGTTAATGGACACTATGTTGGCAGGTATCACTGGAGCAGCGGCTTATCTGGATGATATAATTGTTATGGGTCACACTCAGTCCGACCTACTAAACACGCTAGATAATGTGCTTACCCGAATACAGGAATATGGCTTCTGCCTACGCGAGGACAAGTGTGATTTCTTTTTAACCTCAATCAAATTCCTCGGTTTTATCCTTGACAAAAATGGTAGACGCCCGGATCCGGAAAATATCAACGCGATCCGCAACATGCCTCCACCGTCGGATATGTCCTCTCTCCGTTCGTTCTTAGGACTCGTCAGCCATTATAGTTCATTTTTGCCAGACATGCATCGCCTACGTGCACCACTAAATCAATTACTGACCAAAAGTTCTACGTGGAAGTGGTCCTCAGAATGTGAAGTTAGTTTCAATGCGATTAAGTCATTGCTAACCTCAGATCTCTTACTGACACATTACGATCCTTCTCGGGACATCGTTGTAGCCTCAGATGCATCTGATAAAGGAATTGGTGCGGTCATATCCCATGTTTATGCAGACGGTTCTCAAAAGGCTATTGCACATGCTGCTAGATCTCTCACAACCACTGAAAAGAACTATAGCCAAATTGAAAAAGAGGCCTTAGCTATCATATACGCTGTAAAGAAATTTCACAAGATGCTGTACGGCCGTCGTTTCCCGTTGTTAACTGATCACAAACCACTACTGACCATTTTCGGCTCCAAAAAAGGAATTCCAGTTTACACAGCTAACCGCTTGCAGCGCTGGGCACTGACACTGTTAGCCTATGACTTCGACATACGTTATCAGTCAACTACGAGTATTGGTCAGGCAGACGCTTTATCGCGACTTATAGGACCTCACAAACAGAATCAGGAAGATACGGTGATTGCATCTGTAGAAGCGGAACCGGACATTGCGTTCCTCATAGATGACGTTTCGAACAATCTTCCGGTTACCTCAAATGCAGTTCGTCACGCCACCCTCCAAGATCCCTTACTTAAACAAGTTGCCCATTTTCAGCGATCGAAGTGGCCAACCACATGTAAATCAGCTGAACTTCAACAGTTCTACCAGCGAAGACACTCTTTGTCCATCGTGAACGATTGTATTCTTTTTGCAGACAGGGTCGTTATTCCTAAGATCTTGCAAACGAAGGTGCTACGCCAATTTCATATTGGTCACCCTGGAATAAACCGAATGAAAGCACTAGCACGCCGCTATGTCTACTGGCCTTTCATGGATAAACAATTAGAAGAGTTAGCAAAGAGCTGCAATAAGTGTGCAGTTGCAGCAAAAGCCCCACCGAAAGAAGAAATCCACCCTTGGCCAACACCTGACAAACCGTGGACTCGTGTGCATGTAGATTTTGCCGGACCCGTTAATGGTAACAACTTTCTAGTAGTTGTCGACTCATACAGCAAATGGCCCGAGGTGTTTCTGATGCAAAACACAACAGCTGAAGCCACTGTTTCGAAATTAAGACAATTATTCAGCCGGTTTGGCTACCCTGAAACCCTGGTGAGTGATAATGGTAAACAATTCACTTCAGCATGTTTCTCTAACTTTTGTAAAAATTGTGCAATCAATCACATCAGAACACCGCCGTTTCACCCGCAATCCAACGCCCAAGCAGAACGCTTCGTGGACACTTTCAAGCGCGCCCTCTTGAAATCAGCAGGGGAGGGAACGACACAGGAAATCCTTGAACGATTTTTGTTCATATATCGGGTCACACCGAACGTCCAAACGCCGAACGGATTTTCTCCGGCCGAGGCCTTAATGAATCGTAAGCTACGAACTCCATTTGATGCTCTTCGGCCCACAATAGAAGTTTCGGCTAAGGAACAGAAATCTACTATGGGACAACAGTCATCTAAACATCGAGGGACAAGACAACGTGCGTTCACCCATGGTCAACTAGTCCTTGCACGCGACTATCGCAATGGTCATCCAAATTGGACAAAAGTTATGTTCACTGGTAGGCGGGGCAAAGTTATTTACGAGGTGCGAGTTGGATCACAATTATGGATTCGTCATGTGAACCAGCTGCGACCAACTAGGTGCATACCCGATGAAGAGAGTCACAGCCTGCCTCTTGACATGCTAATTGACACATTTAACATCCCACGGTACATAGAAAACTCAGACGCACCGAAGTCTCCACCAGAGACAACCCAACAAAGGCGCCGGGCAGACCGCGCTCGCAAAACTACGACACGTTTGCAGGTAAACCCTTGGAAGCGTTCTTACGATTGACATCTTCAAGGAGGGAGATGTTAGGGTTAGAACCAAAACCTAACCCGAATAAGACCCAGGGGTTTTGGATAGTCGAAACCAGACTGTGCCACAGAATTGTGTTCGAACTTGTACGTGCAATCAGAACACGGAACCAAGCATGTTTCAATTTGTGTGCACCAAATAGCTACATGTGAATTACACAGAGTTGGCATGTTTTTCGCCCAAAACCAGAACAGTGTGTTTGTTTTATGCAACAGAACATTGTTATTGTCCTTTTGGCCCACACAACATGAAACACTTGTGAAAAACACACCTCCTATAAAATTGCACATGTTTCGACTATCACGGACACTCGCGGGTTTGTGCTATTGGCATTTTTGGCCCTTGGGGTTTTGTGTACTCAATACACATACTACTTGCCAGTGTCGCGTGTTCTCCCAATACCTTGGCCTCTCATTCAGGAGTCGGTGTCAACCATCGCGATTAAGTCTATCTGGTGCGACCATATCAGTGACCATCAATTGGACCTGCAAAGTCGATGTGTACAGTTGACTATGGTTCCGGTGGTATTCGCCAGGATTGCAATTCCGTCTTTTTTGGTTGTTTTGATACACTAGCACATCGGGGACAATTCTTGGTTAAACTCTCGATCTGGGAATCCATATAGGGCCAATACACATAGCTTCGTACCAGCGATTTCATGCGATTCATTCCCGGGTGGCCAGTATGAAATTGTCGGAGGACTCTCTCTTGAAGGATGTGAGGAATGACGACGCGACCTGAGAACAGCAGGCAGTTTCTGACGACCGATAGTGCTTCCTTCCGTTGGTGGAATTGTTGAAGCTCCGGCGTTTTAACTCTCTTAGGCCATCCATTGAGGTGGAAATCAAACACTTTTTGAAGTGCAGAATCATGCTGGGTCGCTTCCCGCACCATTTCGAATGTTACTGGTAAGGCACCGAAAATATCAGACACAACTTGCTGTGCTTGGGGTTCTAAGGAGATTTGAGCAACTACCAAATCCTCTGGTTCTTGATGTTGTGTACCAGTTAAATGAGATAACGCATCTGCTTGACCAATGTTGTGTGTAGATTGATATTTGACGACGAAATCGTAACCAAGTAGAACAGTTGCCCAGCGTTGGAGACGACTGGCCGTGCAGACCGGAATGCCTTTCTTTGATCCAAAGATTGCGACCAAGGGTTTGTGGTCATTAAACAGCGTGAATTTTCGTCCGTAGAGAATTTGGTGAAATCGCTTGACTGCAAACACTATGGCTAAAGCTTCTTTCTCGATTTGTCCATAGTTACGTTCCGCTGGGGTGAGTGATCTGGCCGCATGCGCCACAGCTTTCTCCGAACCACTGGGGAAAATGTGGGATATGACTGCTCCAATTCCGTAGTCTGACGCATCAGCAGCAACTATGATCTCCAACTCCGGATTGAAATGCGTTAGCAATAGGTCAGAACACAATATAGACTTGACATTATCAAATGCGGCTTGACATTCAGGAAACCACACGAATTTGCGATCTTTACCAGAAGTTCATTGAGTGGTCTTCGTAGCCGATGCATTTCGGGCACAAAAGAGCTGTAATGACTGATCAACCCCAAGAAGGATCTGAGCTTCGCCACATTGTCAGGTGGAGGCATCTGTCTTATGGCGCTTATGTTGGAAGGGTCCGGACGACGGCCATCCTTGTCGACGATGAAGCCAAGGTACTTGACACACTTCATGCCGGTATTGCACTTTTCTGCTTTCAAGTGGAAA